ACTACAAACAAATGAAATTTCTCCGCACAAAATGAATTGAGACAAAACATACTTTTGGAATATGTAGTCATGTAGTCATCAGTCTGCAATGTGTTGCAATTACTGTTTGTACAGTCATGTTCTAGTATAGTTTTATTCTGTAATGTGATGCAAATATGTGCAAAGCCATTTTCTGGCATAGTTTTGTACTGTGATGTGTTGCAAATATTGTTAGCAAATTTTGTTTTTGCACAGCTATGTTCTGGCATAGATTTATTCTGTAATGTGTTGCAAATATTGTGTGCACAGCCATGTTCTGGCATAGTTTTGTTCTGTCTCAAACACCAGTAATTTAATTGTATTACGCATTAAAATAAACCCAATGTCCCTATATGAGGACATCATTTTTCTCAAAAATGACTTCCTGTTCAAAGACCATACTTGGATTTTATACTTATCATGTCCCAATAATCCCAAATAGATAGGAAAAAATGAAAATGCATATGAAACCAAAGCTCAGGACTCTAGAGGTTAAGATGACTGGATCTTCAGGTGCTCACAAAAATACATCATTATGAGTTTCAACCAAATTATACAAATCTTTTTTCTCTCTTACTGAAAAAAGCGGCGGCACATTGTTCTGGTGCATTCCTATGGTACTAGATGCAGTCCGACCACAACTGAAGGCAGAAGTGCTGACAACAATCACAGGGTCATGATAACAAAGCACAAATTTCAGAGACTCTTTTCAGTCATAGTTTTGCACTTGTTTAACAGTCCATAATACTATATTTACCTGTAGATGGATACTACAGTCATAATGCAATCAAAAAACACAATTTTCACATTCACCTTAGTTTATCTGCATATTCTATTTAGTCTCTCCATTCACACATCTTTAATTTCACCTGTTTATTCAGTTAAAGCCGTTAGATGTGTTTGACTACATCCTGCATGACGCTAACAGCTACCACATCAATATGGTAATTTTACCTCGAGCACTTTTCCAGTGATATACTTTTTGCAGCTCTCACACTGGATGCCAAACATGGCGTGGTAGTCCATCTCACAGAAGGGGATCCCATCCCTGTTAGGACACAGGATGAGACAGAGCACAGAACATCACATGCACTTGAGGTCACACAGGAGATTGCACAAAACCTCTGAATCCTCCACACACCGTGACTGACTCAGCAAGTGTTAAGGGAAGGTGCTGGGTGGAGCCTCCAAACTTATATGATGATAATTTGACTACATTTTGCACCAAACATAAAAGTACAACTACTGGTTAGTGCCAGAAGTTACAATTTCAGACAGTGTATTATAATGCTCTCAGCCAACAAAGCAGGTGAAATGGCACAAAACAGGAAACCTTTACAAAACAAAAGTACAAAACAGGAAGCAAGTCCAAAACCCTAACAAAGAGTTAAAATTCAACAGCATATACCACTGAAGTAACTGCATTATTGAAGCAGTGAATTTACAGTATTTCCAAAGCCAGAGTGACTTACTTGCTGATGTACTCAGCATTGAGCACCTTGTTGCAGACTTTACACTTGAAGCAGCCCAGGTGCCAGTGCTTGTCCAGTGCTACAAGGGACTGTTCATTTTTAAACTCCTTCCCACACCCACAGCAGTCTGCACATAGGACATGAGGGAGCAATCAAAATTAGATACAGTTTGATGAGAAATGATACAGAACATGACTGAAGTGGAAGAGTTCCTTCTATAAATTTGAATGAACAAAATTACAAAAGTAGAATTGGATATATTAGTTTCCAAAGACAAGAATGACTTGACATCATTTTAAAAAGTACCAATTTTGGGGGTGGAACAGAAAATTACAATAACAAGCAGTGTAACAAATTATAGTCTGCAAAAGTAAAAAGTTTACATTTGGCATAATTTATGCAAAGAAGGTGCAGCTAGAGACATAAACTGTTTTAACTGACTGTGGACAGCTTGTATGGGTGCTGGGCTGCTGGCAGGGAGAGGCTGGGCACACTTTTGACAGATACATTCCTTCCCGTTAAATGTTACTCGGTCACCAGCTGGGAACGGCTGCCTGTACACAAAAGAAAACAGATAGAACATTAGATGTGGGCTTCCACTAATACAGTTTGTGATAAGGTGTCAGTTTTGGTAAAGGCTTATTCAAAGCCCCTGAAACAAGATTTAGTTTATCATGTGGTCATTAAAAGCCATATGAAATTGTGTTGTGGCAGCTTTCAATGCAACGTGATTAAAATAATCACTGTAAAATAATTTCTCTGATGTGGCATGACATATTAAAACAATGTATTGCTGACTAGCAGCTGTCAGGGAGGAAGATCTACTGTGTCAGTACAGTTGAGAGATTTGAGCAGGGCTGAACTCGGGATCTTAGAAACGCTGAAGCCACAAGTACAAATTCCCCAACTGAAGTTTACCCACAAAAGATTTCTGACATGTTTTTGGTGTTGTTTCATGATTCTTTTTAAAATTCATTTAAATATGACTTAATATACACATCATAAACTGTGTAAACTACTCAAATTGGTTAAAAAAAGCATAAAACAACAAATTATCAACATATGACTAATCAGGTGTCACCACTATTCAATAATCTTGTAAAAAATTATCTGTGTGGAGCAGGACTATTCTTTTGAGGCAATAAAATATGGAGCTTGAAAAAGAGTCACTGATTGCAACTTTACAGATACCGACTTAATCTCAACATAAAAAACGAGTTAACACTATTATATAACCTTTTATTTAGCATTTATAGTATAACCACTTTCAATTTATTTAGTCTTTCTTATATGGTGTTAAAAGCAGATTATAAATGACACAAAGCTTCTTTCTCAAGCAATGACAATAAATAATAGTGTCATCTGTACAAAAGTGCATTTGTCCTGTTGAACATTCAAACCAAGTCCATTAGAATAAATGGAAAAAGAAAGTGGACCCAGAACTGAACCACGAGGTATACCTTTGGTCTCATTTAGAAACCCTAATTTAAGATCTTCCCAGTTACACATTCGACTGCTAAATAGTGTGTTTCAATAGTGTGTGACACAGTGATGGTGACATAACAGATTCCACACACATCCAAAACCCTGAAAACGGTCATAGAATAGATCCCTATTACGCCTCTTTAGCATTCATATTCACTTTGAACCAAAAACAAAACAAACAAGCAAAAACAAAGCAATAGGATCCACAATAGCACATTAGAAGTTAAACAAGATATTGATGGCATCTAATGATCATTCCAAGAAGTGCAGTTTGCACATTAACAGTAGCTTCAACATTCAGGTGTAAAATTAATTAACTGATTTATGGTTCCTTTGGAGACAAATGTCATTATAATGCTTAAGACCTTACAAACACAACAAAAACAATGTTAATGTCTGCTGGCTGTGAATGCTGCTTCAACACAACTACTGTCACTGAGTCAAGTAGAGAAGGAATAATGCTTCCTTGGCAAAGCAGGGCTCTGACTGTCTGCCACGTGTTGCTTCCTACAACTCAGAAATATGATATTAGAGCTGTCACACTATCACAGCCAGCTACCGAGGGAGGAATACAGTACAAATTGGTAGAGGCTAGGATTATACAGTTGCTTACTTATATATAAAAAGTTAAAAGGTTTATGTTTTTAAGACTGACACATTGTATGGCTTGGCCTTCATGTTACACCCCCACCTATTTTGTTACATTTAAGTTAACTTTCGTAGTTTTCTGCTATCCCTTTTTATTTATATCTGTTTTAATGTAACTAATGTTTTACTGATTTATCGTCAAAATCAGCTTTCCATTTGTCAGCACTAAACCTACTCCTACATTCATCAAAATGAATTTAATAGTTAACTAGCTATAATAAGGTGAAATAAGGTGCATGCAGTGTATATATGAAGGTACTAAATGTGTGCTCAAAATCTGTTTTTCAGGTGTTTAGGTTGGTTAGGCTTCACTTGACTAGCAGGGACCTGCCCTCAATCGGTACAAATGGAAGTATAAGGATAGAGAATGCTTGTGAACTTGACAGTTTTGGGGTCCAGTAAGGGAGCCAACAAGAAGGGCAGACGGAGAGGGGCCCGGTGCCAGAGTAGGCAGTGGGAGGAGGTGGGAGACACAGATGCCCGCAGCCGACAGGGTGGGGGCAGCCCGGTGCCAAAAGAAGAAGAAAAGCAGGGAATAAAAACTTCTTGCAAGGTATCATTTACCCTGATCTAGCTGGCATCTGCAACTTGTTTTTCAGTTCATGTAATACTGTATACCTGTTCGACACCATTGAACTGCTGATAAATGACTGATGACCAAGACAGTCCTGTAACCATGAGACACTCACAGAGCTGAATCTTGTGCCTTATCTTTAGCAACATTTGCTCTTTCTCAGCTTCTCAGTTTTAACTTTATATTCCTCACAATAAGCCAGTGTGTTTTGCCACCACAAAAGCGATATTAGTAATAAGAGGGGTTAGAAGTTTGACGATCACATTACAAACCTCAAATGCCACACTGGAACATTCTGATCTCAGGTTCAGCATAGGGATCACTGAGGTATGATAGGATGAACACGCACATGCAATACACACACACACACACACAAAACCCACCACAAGTTCAACATACACTTAACATTAGCCATGGAAATGGAGTAAGTGGCTACACTAACTGACCACACACTTAAAATTCCCGTCAGAGAGAGGCTGCCATTACCATTCTAGGCCTGACAACAAACACCGGCCATACACAAAAATACTAACACACATACACACATTGCACAATTAGTAGAAGCATGCACATGGCTGGAAACCGGTGAAGATGACTGTGTGACTTGCAGAGACCTGTTTCCATATGCTTTCCTATATGTATACATTATGTGTGTTACAGTGTTATGGACTTGTAAATGACACCTACACTAATGAAGCAGTTCTATAGATGATATGTGTAAAAAACACACTGCTGAGGTATCCCTCTGAAAATATGTTTTTGTCTTTTGTGGTTGGGGTCTTTTAGTCATGGGAACGTACAAGGCGGGGTCAACCAACCAGCTGGTAAAATTACATGAGATTTACAATAAATTAAATCTATTCTCATGTGAAATCATATCTGACTGTCACACATAATGTAGCATTTCAACGTTTAAGACCTTCATAATAGTTTACAACAGCTTGAGACCTGTAAGGACTTGAAGACACCATTACAAATAAGGGTTGGGTTAAAAATTCCATTAATGATTGGTTAGAGTTTAGTTAGACATTCAGTTATTTATGAATGACTGAAAAATCTGAAATATAAGTATATTCCTCAGTACTTATAAATTCAAGTGTGATTAAATCTAACATATGGATTGATTTTTGGATTGTCAGGTTTGGAAAGTGACAGAAATAGTCAGCACAGCTTTCAGAATTTGGTTTCAAAGGCTGTTTGACAATCTAACATCCTTTTGTTTGAAGCATACTGAGGCCTTTACTGTGCACAACAAACAGCAAAACATCCCCTGACTTTGACTACCTTTAAATCAAGGCTTTAAATGCTTTGGACTGCCGCCATATCCATAGCTGAGTGGTTACGGCGTGGTGCACCATATACCCCACTGGGGTTTGTGATGTCATCAACTCGAATTTGGCCACCGACAGCTCTGTTGTAGGTCTCTGTCCGCCTCTACACAACTTACCAATTAATAAAACCCAAAAATAAATCTTTTAAAAAATGCCTTTGACTAAACCTTTAGAATTTAATCATTGTCCACCTTTCACTGTGATATAACCATTTAATAATTTTATTTCTTAATACGTTATAAAAAGCACTTGGAATCCCTTTTGGATATGAAATGTCCTCTTTCTTCTACAAAAAAAGCACAAGCAATGATAATGCACAAAAATGTACAGGTACCTATTTGGCAAGCACAACCAGAAATCTACACTTTAGGGGTAACATCTTAAAGTTTGCCAGCCATTGACAAAAAATGTTGCTTAAAGTCAGTTTTGTAGCTGCTGATCATTGAACACTGAACTGGAGATAGTCAAATGTCCTTTTCTGAGCATTTTAAGCACTTCACATATATGTTGACTTAAAGGTGTGGGTTTAAAGTTTACTTACTCATACCCAAACATCACTGGCATGCACACTGTAATTAGGCAGCTGGGTAGTTTACCTGCTTCAAGAATAGCCTACTGCTCTAGCAGCTGAGGAAGGTGCCAAATGTTTCTGGTCATAAGACTTAAAATTAAGTGATGTCGTAAGTTTGTTTAATTCCAAGATAACTTGAGTATTGCAACAAAACACCTATAGGACCAGTTAAATCATGTGTGGATTAAAAATGGTTTGACCCCACTTCCCACATCCCTGCTTCTTACTTGCAAGAGGTGCAGACGAAACAGCGGGGGTGGTAGGTTTTGCCCAGGGCAGATACCACCTCCCCCTCAATGAATTCCTGGCAGCTGAAGCAGCGAGTCCCGTACAGCCGCTGGTAGTCCAGGGTACAGATGTATTCACCCTGCCGCACGAAGAAACCTCCCTGGGCCAGCTCACTACCACACACTGATTGGGAGAGGAGGAGAGAGAAAAAAAGAAAGAGCAGAAAGGTTTAGATGTAAAGGAGATGTTGGAAATAGAAGGAGACCAGTAAAATGACAGGTAGGAAGAGATGAGAGAGGGAGGGATGCGAGAACAATGAATCAAAGGGGCAAAAAAATAAAGACAGAGGCAAATTAGATCATAGTAATGACCCATTCTGAAGCAAAGATATTAATGTAGTATCTCCTGTACCAATGGAAGAACAGCTCTACAACTATATACAAAATTTAAGTTGTATAAAATGTGACAAAAATCACAAGGACACAGGTCAGGTTTGTTAGTTCTTGGTTCACATTATGGACCACTCATTATAAAGTTCCTCTGTTTAGCCACACCACTTGTTGAGTGGTTGACTGCCAGTGCTTCTTGTGGCTGAAGCCAATCCACGCCGCTATCAGGTGAGAGGCAGGGCACATACTTGACAGGTCTAACACCAGGCTGACACACGGAGACGGACAACCATTCACACTAACAGCCACACCTACGGACACTTCATTTTCACCAGTCAACCTCAGCTGCATGTTTTTGGACTGTGAGAGAAAATCAGAATACCTGGAGTAAACCCATGCTGCAAGGTTCAAATGTGAAACCTTGCTGTGAGGCGACATTGCTAACCACTGCACTACTGTGCACAGGTTCTGTTCTTTTAATGATCAGATATAAGAGATCTATTAAACTACATAACCACATTGATGGTGTACTGGGCGCTGAGCGATTCCAGACGTGGGCGACCTACACTCAATACTGCGTCTGAAAGCCTCACACACAGTATAGATACTGGCTTTCATCAAACTCGATTTGACAGTTCTACGTGAAAAGTTATCCAATCAGAAGCTTTGTCCCGCCCCCAAGCCCCAAGCCCTGGAACAGCAGCAGCACCAGCAGCGCCAGCAAGAGGGGCCAACACCTCCCCAGCCCGAGGAAGAAAACCCCCGGCGGGTAAAAGTCCAGCGTCCTTCTTCTTCAGCTTCCTCCTCTTCTCCCTATTCATACGGTAATGCTATTTCACCCCAGCCTTTATTATT